AGAGGGTCAAATTTTACAGGCATTTTTAAATTGCAAAATGATTGACCTAAAATATGTGTCCAGATAGATGCCAAGAAATATCTGATACAACTGCTGGTCCATAAAAACAAGAAAAGGTTAAAAACAAAATTTATTAAATGAAATAGGACGATTGTCCCGTGAATTAGAAAGTATTGTTATTGCAAGCCCGTGAAGTGAACGACCCCATCTCCCGCTGGACTTCTCCTCCACCAACAATTCCTCATCCCTATTGAATTTCATGATCAATATTCATAATTTACTATTTTGACAAGGGTTGTGTTGATCAAGTTCAAGTTGCAATTTATTAATATAGAATACAAGTTGCACCTAATGCTTTACCCAAAATTTTATAATGACATCAATAAATATTTTTCTTCAAAAAGTATGGAGAAGAATTGGATATTATTTATAATATGTGATTTTCATCCACCAAACAAAAAATGTAATGTTCATTTATTTTACTTTGTCCCCATTAAATTGTTTTCCGTATAATTTTTATATTAACAAACAATTATTATTACAATTTATTTATAAAAATTGTTTTTTTATCGAATCACTTATTTATAACTATCAATTACTATAAAATTTTAAAATAAGAGGCCAAGAAAAGAAACTTTGCGTACGTACACTAATGGGACGGTCATACGCAAGATCCGTTTTCATGTTTATATATATTTAATTAATCAATTGAAATTGTAAAGTTCATGTGATTGACGACATGATTTTGTGGGTTCTCTTGCAAATTTGGTCCTCATTGACATAAAATATAGAAATTAAATTTGATGATGAAAAAAAAAATCAAAAATCACAAATTCTTCCGAGTCACTTTGTCGTACTGTTTCAGCAAAAATATCGTACTTATTAGTATGGAATAAAATGTTACAGTTTACTGTTGACTACGCACGCAGTCCACAATGCACGTACAGATAAATCTTTTTTTATGCCAACTTATAACAAATCCACAATGCACATATAATGATATAAATCTATTTTATACCAAGTTATAATAAATCACATTTGTTATTAACAAATGATATAGTCATGAGTATTCTACTACTACGTATATTTTATTTTTTCATTCTTTTTATTATCTGTTTGTTTGTTTGTTTCCATTAGAAATATTATCTCTTAGGCCATGCAGATTTCTTTGTCATGAATACGACTAGAATTCTTCACATGCATGCCAAAACTCAATAATAGGAAAACCAGCTGTAACCATTTTCAATAACCATCCATCCTCACAATTTCTCCTCCTCCTCTTATCTATAAATTCCTTCTCACTTCATCTCCAGAAAATCATCACATTTTTATGATCTTATCCTAGCAAACCTCAAAAAAATGGATCACACATCACTACTCATTCTTACAACAGCCCTCTTCATCATAATATCCATCTCCTCCACACCCTGCACTTCCTCCCACGACCCGTGCCCGTTCTCCAAACCCGGCCCGGACCTCTCCATCATCCACATTTACGGCAAATGCTCCCCCTTCGACCCGCCCAAGCCCGACTCCTCGTGGCCCACCACAATCCTCAACATGGCCACCAAAAACGACCCAAAACGAATCTCCTACCTATCCAGCCTGGCGACGGCCCAGAACAAGCCCACATCCGCCCCAATCGCCCCTGGCCACGTCATAAACGTCGGCAACTACGTCGTCCGGGCCCGAATTGGCACTCCGGGCCAGCTCATGTTCATGGTCCTCGACACGAGCAACGACGCCGCGTGGGTCCCGTGCGCCAACTGCACGGGCTGCTCGTCAAATTACTCTTTCGCCCCCAACACGTCCTCCACTTACGGGCCCGTCGACTGCTCCGGGCCCGAATGCGCCCAAGCTAGCGGGCTCTCGTGCCCGGCCGCCGGCCCCGGCCCGTGCCTCTTCAACCGAACCTACGGCGGTGACTCCTCGTTCTCCGCCACCCTGGCGCGCGACTCGTTTTCCCTCGGCAACGACGTGATTCCCGACTACGCGTTCGGGTGCGTGGGCTCGGTTTCGGGCTCGTCGGTCCCGGCCCAGGGTTTGTTGGGCCTGGGCCGTGGCTCCTTGTCGCTGTTGGCCCAATCAGGAGCCCGTTACTCCGGGATTTTTTCGTACTGCTTGCCGAGCTTCAAGTCGTATTATTTCTCGGGCTCGTTGAGGCTCGGCCCGTTGGGCCAGCCCAAGAGCATCAAGACTACGCCGCTTCTGAAAAACCCACACCGACCCTCGCTTTACTATGTTAATCTGACGGGCGTTAGTGTGGGTCGGGTTAATGTGCCTGTGGACCCCACGCTTTTGGATTTTGACCCGAATACTGGGGCGGGGACGATTATTGATTCGGGCACGGTGATAACGCGGTTTGTTCGGCCCGTTTATGATTTGGTCAGGGATGAGTTCAGGAGGCAGGTGAAGGGCCCGTTTAGTTCGTTGGGGGCTTTCGACACTTGCTTTGCGGCCACGAACGATGAGCTGGCGCCGGTGATCACGTTTCGTTTTACGGGGATGGATTTGAAGTTACCGACGGAGAACAGCTTGATACACAGCAGCTCGGGGTCGTTGGCTTGTTTGGCGATGGCGGCTGCGCCGGATAATGTGAACTCGGTGCTCAATGTGATTGCGAATTTGCAGCAGCAGAATCTGAGGATCGTGTTTGATACGGTTAACTCTCGTTTGGGGATTGCTCGGGAAGTTTGTAATTAGGCGCGGCCTGCAGGCGTTTTTTCCTGTGTCTCTGTGGATGTGTGTGGTGTTTCAGTTAATGTTGGTTGTGTTTTTTCAGATTTTTGATGAGTTTGTACCAAGAGTTCGTTTTGTGATGTAATTTTGCTATGTCCATGACAAAAATGTTGCTGCTGTTTGATGTGAAGTCCAACCAGTGTATCTATGTCTTCGGTTTGAAAGGGTGAATTAAAAGGAGCTTAAATGTATGTATCCTTGTGAAGAATCTTCTCAAAAAAGGCAGAAAAATCACAGAAGTCTGCTTGTATCAGTAACTGTTGCATCTGGTTTTCAATGTTAGACATAGAAGATTAAGTCACAGCATATATGTGATTTAACAGCAAAACAATGTACGGTGAAGCACCATGGTGCATAAGAGACTTGGATAACAGTTTGCAACACAAACAGAGGTGGTAAAAGGAAATATCGAAAAGAACTGACATCAAAAATCAGATAAAAAAATTTTCCAAGCTCTGCAAGAAAAGCCGATTACTGAAATGGACAATAAGAGAATGTATCACATGCATTAGAACACGCCAAAAGTATGGAATGAAGACGATATTCAAGTCACTGTCAACATAACTGTGAACTGACAAATGAACAGAGACAAGGCAACGCAATCACATTCATTAACAAGTTCTGCTAACCAACACGGGGAATTTATTAAATATTACTTACTATACAACAATGTCAGCCACACTTGAGTACGGAAAGTTACAAACGAGACGACACAATGCTAAGCATAAAATATAAAGTCGTGAGAGAACAATAGTAACATAAAAACTTGAGAAAAAAGGAAAAAAGGTTCACGCGACATTTCATCTATGCTCCACATTGAACCAGAAAAACAGAGAAGTACGAGTGTATATCACCCTAACATGCTGAAGTGAGAGGGTCCCACTAGTCAACACAGCCTTGGCCCCACCTTCAATCCTCGTCCGCATTACAGTAACACAATCAGCAGTATTCTTTAGCCTAGGCGAAATCCCATCAGGCGAAGTTGCTGTGGTCACAATGGCATGAGAGAGATGGTCCAGAGGGTTCGACTCACACTGAAGTATACAGCCATCGATTGTGAGCCTCCCACTCCTATGAAGCAGGCAGCAGCCGAGCTCTGCCCTCACGGTTAAATTAGCCAATTTGCATGTCGACAAAAACTCCAGTGCACTGCAGAACAGAGTTTACCAACACACACACACAAAATTGCAGTAACTGGTAAAATATTGCAACCCAGAATTAACTTCTCTGAACATAGACACAAGTTAAAGGCACAACGAACTGGAACACTTCAAACCTCTCAGAGCCACGAGAGCAGATTAGTGTGGTATCATCAGGGAGGTCACCTGAACCAATCTGAAATGGTGGAAAAGAGGGAAAAAAAATTAGGTATGACACATATAATTAACTGTAACATGAAATACAAAGAAGGCCAGGAGCTAATGCCGTTGACTAAACATAGAAGCACATATAAATCGGAATAAAATCCAGAACCTTGGCATCCATTACAGATATATGCATGATGATGTAAAACATTTTTGCAACTACAAAATAGTGGAAAGAAATAGTGTTGGCTAATAAAAATAATTTTCATCCAACGCATTCCATCTTTCTATGCTAAATGTAATTAAGAAGCTTATTCGATTTAGGCAGTTTATCCAGATCAAAACATGGAGGTCATCCTGTCGGCTGCAGATATGCTGCACCATGCTGAACAGTACAAAGTAAATCTAGCAAATGATATTTCTCTAAGCTAAACATACATTACTCAAAAGGAAAATCACATGGAAAGTAAGAATTTACAGGTACTCGGTGAATTAATTGTTGATTCAGATAAAGACAACAAAAGAAATTACCAGGCACAGAGGCTTTTTAATTTGAATATCAGAAGTGCGGTGAATGCCCCCAGCTGCAATCAGTATAGTGTCCCCAGGCCTGTAAAGCATTGAGAGTCAGAATAGTTTCGAGTTCCTTTTAACTTGAAAGTTAACATAAGCATTTGTTATCTTACCTTGCTGCAGAGACAGCTATCTCAATGCTTGGGTAAACTCCAGGTAAAGATAGATCTTTGACCGACCTATCTACTCGCAACCAAAGACGAGGGTGACAAGCTAGGAACTTCCATCTGCGGCAAACGAGGGCAGAGTTATACCGATCTGCAATTTCAACAGAAATTCATGATAGTAACACCCTAAACACGTATGAATGTCAGTGCAGTTTGGATTTACAAGAGCAGATAATATTAACCCCAAAGCCATGACATAAAAATGAATGCAGTGGTGGATAATTAGCGAGAAAGGCGCTAACTTTCACCTCATTATTGCAAAATTACCATTTACTCATACACCATATGAGTATCAAGAAACCATTTAGCACTGATATTACTAACTGGGATAATATCAAACGAGTAAATACATGCTGAATACAAAGAAAAACCAGAATTTGGGACACTAATAAATCCAGTTCTGCTAGTAATGAAAAAAACTTGAGAAGCTTCCAAGAGTTATGAAAACAAATTAAGAACAATTTGCACAAAACGGGAACGTGAGCAAATAAAACAACTGCAAAGTTATCACATCAACAAAAAACCCAAAGTTATGACGGGACAAAAAGTCAATCATAATTAAGAATGAGTACTGCATCAGACTGGATAACATCATTCGATCAAACCAAATTTTTCGTTTCACAAAATCTACTACAAGGGAAATAATATGAACAGTCAAACATAAACCCGAATATAAATTTTGTCTTTCCACCACGGGAGCAAGAAAGTACGGAAATTTAGCTCCAGAAATTCGGATCCACCGGTTGAGCCCCAATGAAATGATAACATTAGATGAACGCCCAAAAAAAAAATTATTTGAGGTACATAAAAAATGATACCTGGGATTGGGGAGAGGAAGCTGAAAATGAGCATTAGACAGCCATCGTCAAGATTATTGATATGAGGACCGCAAAAATTCTTCGAGTGCCTAGTTAATTTCCTGCATTTGATGGTAGGTGCCTCCTCCATCCAACCCAAGATTCTACTGAAATTGAAAATTAGGGTTTTTAGGGAGAGATCAGATATGGCAGTGGATTTCAATGTACTGAAATATCTTCAGTGGAATGAAATCACTCGTTCCCAATCCAGATGAAATTACAGTGTTAAATATCTTTCATTATATTTAAAATTGATTGAGAAGAAATGTAAACGAGCCAACTTTATGGGTACTACAATTATTTATATGGGCTTACAGAAAAACCTTTAGCCCAGTTTTCATCATCATTGACTATTGGTTAATCTTGCTTATTTTGAGGAAAAAAAACAAACTAAAAATGTAGAAAATATTATATCTACAAAAAGTGAATTATTCTTTTAGATAGTTAAGAATTATAAGATAAGAAGATAATAATTCAAATGATGTGATATAAATATAAGAAATATTAACGGGTAATGATTGAAGTGCAAATGAGGTAAACTTTTGCAAACATGACAAGTCTAGTTCAAGTCTATATATATATAATTGCTAGCTAACTTCATTTAATAAAACATTTAATAAAAACATTTTCATTTTCCCTCCAAAAGAAGTTATATTTTTTTTTAATTAATTACTCATTAATCTCACATTTAAGAAGGTTTCTTTTAGTTAAACTTAATTAGTTAATGACTAAATTAAAAAAGTTTCATTTAGTTAATCCCACATTTATGTTTCTTATTCTCATTTATATATGTAAACGTGACAGTCATTATTGTTGTGCAGAAACTATATATTATTATTTTTTATTCATTATGAATTGAATAAGCAATTAAAGTTATAAGAAATATTAATAAATGTATTAATTACAAACATTATAATACATATCATGTTACATTACAATATAAAAAATAAAATTATTTTTTTTGTAATTTAATTTCCAGCCATACTCAATCAAATATATAACTACAAAATGATAAGAAAGATTAGTTTCATAATTAAAATTAAAAATTTTGCTCCCCAAATGGTAAAACCTTATAAATTAGTAGTATAGATACATTTAAATGACATATAATTTATAAACTTAGATTATACGCATAATAAGATGAATTATGAATTAAATAAATAAATTATTATTATAACACAGTCTATATAATTATTATAGCAAAGTCTATATTGTCAATATTATCATTTAAAAAGTTCATTGAAAAAACATATGTATAAAAAAAATCCATATGATCATAATTAATAGTGCAAAATTAACATTCTTTGACTTTCTATTTGGTAGTAATAATAAAATATTTTATATTACCACTATTCAATAAAATGCATGATTTCTGCATATTTGATTATCGCAATCAACATTCTTTTTTATAAATTAGAAAGTGTCTTGAATCAATTGTCTCATATTTTTCATTAAAACAAAATAACTGTTGGCCGTGAAAAAAAAAACATTATTTCACAATTATAAATATAAAAATGATTAATTTTCATTAAACAATTCCTCTTTAAGAAAAAAGTGGCGGGACAAATTTCTGCATGATTATGGCATCAAAACATATCTAAAACATCAATATTTTAATGCATTAAAAACATACTTTCAGCAACAGAAAAGTCATATTAAACGGAAATTGGCAAAGTCAAAGAATGAGAATTGACAAGGCATTGTATGTAATGGCAGATTGTTGCATAATATAGAACTATCAACCATAATTAATAATCAACAAAAAAAAGTCAAATCTATATGAAAAAATCAAAATTAAAAACACAGCAAATTATGTGGAACATTATTGAACACTATACAATATAGAAAGAAAAATAATTTGATTTCTCTATCATTATCAACATATTCAACTTTTACCAAGGCATCTGCATTTATATTAAAATCGATTTTTTTTGCGTAAAAGTTTTATAAATCAAAATTCCTACAGATTCTTTTAAACATTAAACAAGAAATTCCTAATATGCGATAAATATATCTAAACAGATTTGTTATAAACTTACCTAATATTTCCAAATTTTGAACAAAATACTAAAAAAATTGAAAAACTTCGGCAAAAGACTTTGAATAACTTCAAAAAGCGATTTTGAACAAGTGTTAGCAAAGCTTCACTTACTGATATGATGAGAAAGACGACAAAGAATTGAACTATTTAGTTTTCAAAATCTGAACAAAATACATAAAAGTTACATATGTATGTTATAAAATGATATGAACAGATATGTTATAAACTTACATATATATTTGTTAGTAGAGCTGAACATATCTGTTAGAAACTTACATATTTTTTCAAACTCTGAACAAAATACATAAAAGTTTGAAAAAGTTCGACCAATGTCATGTTCTCTTCGAAAAACGATTTTGAAAAACATCTAAATAATTTCGAATTATGTATAAAATATAATATATCTTGAAGCTTATTCACAAAGAATTTCGGAAAACGACACAGATTATTGAAAATAATAAAAAATAAAAACTACGTTTAACAAAAAATATTTCAGCTCATCATAGATTTGTAATATTATCGCCCGATTTTGACCGACCTGTTAAGATTTAGCAACACAAATTAAGAAATCGGGACGAATATTTTATTTTTCGATCACTACTGTTGGTCACAAAAACAACATTTCTCGAATGTCTTTTTTTTTTTTAATTTTTTAAGCCTTTACCGGGAGAAAATCTCCGGTAAAACAGTTGTTTTGTATTGAATCTCGCCGAGTTTGTCGTAATATCGGGTTAAGGATTAGGGTTTCAGACAGAGTGAATAACGAGAGAAGCGCCGACATCAAACAAAAAAAAAACAGCTTACATCACTCTCAAGGAGTTTATCTCTATTTATAGTCATGTTATCACTGACATATTTTATATTTGATTTTGGCTACCCTAAAAAATTAAGTGGACTTCTAATTTGGGCTTTTTTTATCATTCAATCAATATATTTCTTTATGGCCCAAAAATTGTCATTTTGTTCAAATGTCTTAAATATTTGGCACATATCATTATTTATCAACTAAATACAATTATTTATTTTGTAATATTTTGCTGGTATATTTTTAGTATTTTTTTTTTAAATTTCCTATATGATCTATAGTAAAAAATACAATAATTATTTAAACAATTAAAACCATTATATGTCTTAATTTGAAGATATGATTTGTAATGATGAAAATTCTGTTGATAGAAAAATCACAAACGTTGTATATAAAAAATTGTTTAACAATATTTAGTTATTATTCCTTAGAACATTTTTCTAATGATTATATTATGATTTTTACTATTGTTTATACATTTTTATTATTTTTTGTTATACTATATTGTTTTCCGTGCAAATGCACGGGTTAAAAACTAGTTTGTTTAATTTGGCAAGCGAATGGTTTGCTCATTCAATTATAACCAATAGTCCATCATATCATTTAAAGGTCTAGTAGTGCGTGGACAGTGCGATGCACGAGAAACAATGTTAGTATTGTATTATAAATTAAATATATAAATAATATTAATCATGATTTATCAATTATTTTTATACTAAACCGGGTTGGACACAGTCTGACCAGATGGACCGAGAACCGGTTTATAACCAGTCTAGTTCGCTTGAATAAAATATTTGCTATCGAATCCGTCAACACCAGTCGGTTGGACTGGTAGGATTGATACGATTTTCTAAATAAATTTTGTTATATTTAAAATTATTTTAAATAAAATTATATATTTAAATAAAATAGAGATTTATAAATTATTTATCAATTAGTTTAAACATTTGAATTTATAATTTTTTTAGATATTTAAGTAACACATTTAATTTAAATTTATTACAAAAAATACTATATATATATATTAAAATATTTATAAATTAAAATCTGAACAAATCACAAATGATTTAATAAAATAACTTGATCGTTTCGAAGACGGTCTGGTTCTGAAAATCTTAAATTTACTGTACATTAATAAAAATTATAATAAAATATTATTTTATTCACATACATAATAATAAAATGATTACTGTTAATATGATTATGTAAAGTTTAGACTACATCACATTCACGTAATAAAGTACTTTCAGTATTAAAATTTATATTTAGGTTCAATAATCGATTTGTCTGGTCAAACTGATACATAATTTAGTCACTTTGGACCAACCAAGTTGTGTCAAGTTTTTTGACTATTTTAATTATCACCTAAAAGTAATTCAATCAACCTGGGCAGTACCCTAATTCAATCACCCAATTGATCTAAAGAAAGTTCCTTATTTTCTTTAAATATATTTTATTTTATGAAATAAAAATATTTTATGATTCATATAATAAATGTCTACACCAAATAATAGTATATTAGTATTATAAATTAAATATCTAAAGATGAATTAATTATTTTTACTTTATGCATATTGATAAAAAATAAACATAGTAATTTCAAAAATCAAGATTAATTGATCGGTTATGCAATTTAAAGAATATTTTTAGCGTTTATTTTTTTTTAAGGCACATATATAAAGATCGAGATTCTAAAACTTTTGTTATATTTTGAATTGAGATTTTATAAATATAGAGACCGATATTTTAATGTTGTTTGTTGTTTCTAAGAAAAAAATAAAAATAAAAACATGTTGGGGTCTTTGTGTGTTGTTTTTTAGTTGTGTAGTTGTGTTTTTGTGTTCCCGTATTTTACCCTGTTGGAGTCGGTTCTCTAGGCGGTCTTTTGACCTGTCCTCCCACTTTTTCAGCTGTTGGCTACTTGTATTCAGCTGTTAGCTGTTTGTATTCAGCCGGTGGATGTCCTTTTGCACATTTGTGCGCGTTATATAATACTTCTATCGTTTCGGGAAAAAAAAAGAAATCTTAGCTGGATTTTTTAAATAATAAAATGAATTAAAGCCCAAAATTTATGGTAGCATTTAATGTTGTATGATTTTTAAAGAAGAAAATAAAAAAAATAATAAAACTTACTATTTATGGGCCGCATTAAATTCTGACTTATTTTTTTGCTACTATTTTTGGTAAATAGTTATTCTTATTATATATATAGATTAATAATACATACAAGTTCTTGAACCATACTATTAGACTAATACGTAGCTTGTGCGATGCACGAGTTAAAGAGGTTAAATGAGTAGTTCCATATGGTCAGTCTGTTTAGGCCTGAAAAAGTTTGATCATCTATTTTCTACCTCTTTTCATCAACGATTTTTTAGTCACAACGTTAAACCTGTGCCTATTAGCCCTAGTCTG